GAGTCGCCTCTTAGGTTGTTGGAAAAGGGTGTTCGCTATGACCAGTGTGTTCTCTTGACAAAACTCTGTTAACCTTTGCCCTGCTTCATTTTGCTTCCCAAGGCCAAACTTGTTTGTTATTCTGGTTACCTTTTGACTTCCTACTTTAGCATTCCAGTCCCCTATGATGATGAGGACATCATTTTTTGGTGTTAGTTCTATAAGGTGTTGTAGGTCTTCATAGAACCGGTCCACTTCAGCCTCTTCTGCATCAGTGGTTGGGGCATAGACTTAGATTACTGTGATGCTGAATGGTTTGCCTTGGAATCGGACCGAAATCATTCTGTAGCCCATTCCTGTCCACTTTAGTTCACTGATTCCTAAGATATCGATGTTCAGTCTTGCCATCTCATTTTTGACCACGTCAAGCTTACCTTGATTCATAGATCTTACATTCCAGGTTCCTATGCAGTATTGATCTTTGCAGCATTGGACTTTCCTTTCACCATCAGACACATCCACACCTGAGCGTCCTTTCGGCTTTGGCCCAGCCGCTTCACTCTTTCTGGGGTTACTTGTACTTGCCCTCTGCTCTTCTTCAGTAGCATATTGGACACCTTCCAACCTGAGGGGCTCATCTTCCGGCGTCATATCTTTTAGCCTTTTGATACTGTCCATGGGGTTTTCTTGCCAAAAATACTGGAGTGGGTTAACATTTCCTTCTCCAGGGGATCACGCTTGGTCTGAGTTCTCTGCTGTGACCTGTCCGTCTTGGATGGCCCTCCACGGCATAGCCCTGCATTTTCCTCATAATATGTAGCATGACCTAAACCTGATAGGACAAGGATGAAAAGGGAACATATGGCTTGAGTAACAGTAGTGACTGAAGGGCAATAAGACATCATATCCTAGTATTTCTACACAACATGGAGTAACAGTCAAATAACCTTAACTGGATCCATCAACACATGGTACTCTATTCCAGCCATGTAATATTGGGAAAATACTGAAGTTGGTTAAATCAGCAGAAGAATAATATCTTTTCAATTTGGGTTTTTATTCTGGAATTGTTGCCACTTTAAAAGTGTTTATTTAATCCAACATTTCTAGTGCCACAAAATACTCTGGTTGTTTTCTAGATCCCAAGGTCAGGAATGCACTATTGAGTAAACCTCCTGCATTGCTGAAACCTCCCTGAGCTAAGAGTCTTGAGGTGCTTTATTTCACAATAAGATACTGTTTCCTGACTCTAAAGACAGAAGGGCAAAGAAAGAAAAGAAAGAAAGAATATAGAGCCAGCCACTCCCAAAGACACAGAGGAAAGAGCACATTGTCATGGGAACCATATCTTCTTGAAACAAGATCTTGGCTCTACCTTCCAAACCAGATTAAGCTGCAGAAATAAACACAGCTGTAGCACAAATCATGGTTGGAAAACACAGGTCTAATTATTTGGGTCCAGGTTTGTTTACATGACGTTAGAACAACCACCCTTGCTGCACTCAAATCCTGATTGGCTTACGTGTTCAGGGGGTGAATCAGAAGCTGAGGAAACTAAAACCAGCCCTGATTAAAGTTAGTTGCTCTTCAACAAAACAAGTTGTCATATTTTGGTCTTTAAAAGTGTGCGTAGTGCAGTGCTCCCAACAAACACATACTCATCTATGAATGACCTCGAAACCAGAGGGCTGAAACCTAGTAGAACTCCTTGCTTATGTAGGCAGAGGTTGTTGATCCAGGGCAAAACCTGTGAATCAGTATATCCCCCCACTCAGAAAAGATAGTCTGAAAAAAGGCTTCCACTTAAAATCCATACTGTTTCCTTCTCATTCTTTTACCTTGAATTCCAGAAAGGTGAGAACTACCAAGGTTCCTGGGCTGAATGTAGGCAAGCTTGAATTGTGGAACCACAAAGGGCACTTCCTTGCCCCCTGGGGGGAGTTTGGAAAGAAGATAATCCTCTGAACAGCCAACCTGCCGTTTCACTGACACAGAAGACAAAGGAGGTTTCTCCACAACATCTGATCTATATTTGGCTGCAGCTTCAGAGTCCTTCTCCGGAGAGGCTGTTATTTAACACAGAAAGCATGACAAGCACATTTCATTTTAAATAAGCAGCCTGAAACGAACTTTTGTATTTTAACAGGATCAGAGCCAAATAGGTTTTTTCATCCCATTGGTCACATCCAGCCAGAGAGAGCAGCGAATATACCAAACCTGAGAAGGTTTGCACTGGTTCTCATATCCAGTAACCCAGCCCACTTTCTAATTACCACACTGAAAATTTTAAAAGGAGAATTTTAAACTTCAGTGGTCAAGGTTATAAATGCAAAACATAATTCAAATATTTTATGAACCATGAGAAATTAACATTCATAGCCTGGGCTAAGTCAACCCATAACGAAACAGCCCATCTCACTATCACACAAAATGCCCCATATGGAATACAAGAGTCACCCCTGAGGCAGACAGGAATAACAAGGCAGTTGTCTACTAAACACAAATCATAAGCAGCATTCAACATATTCATACAGTTTTTGCTTAAATGGACAGTCATACATTTCACCCACTGATTAATACCACAAAAAGTACTTTCTAGTTTCTGTCAGTCTAGTTGCATAAAAAAACCCTTGTCAGAACTGACAATACGCGAATTGAACTTACAGTCATGCTTTTCTTTCTCAGTGTAGAAACACCCTCTGCAGCAGTTCTTGATGAATTCTGTTGCCATTACCAAGCCGGAATACATACAGACAAGGAATCAAAAGGCAGAAATCAGGCCTCTAACAAAAAAAAAAATCACATTTGATTAGAAACACAATCAATTAGACTGCAGAGGGTTTTACATCTGCCCAACAACTAGTACAATATTTAGAATCATCACCACCACCATCATTATATTATTAATATATCTGATTGTCATTGTGGATACTTAAATCTGGAGTCTGGAGCCATGAACAGAGAGACAGATCTTTTTATAAATGGGAAAAACGCCCCAAGTCTGCAGAAAAATCGGAAATTAAAAACTCCCCCCAAAAAACAAGGAGAACTGTAGCTTTAAGGAACAAATGCCCTCAGTAACTGTTACTAGGCAACTTCACAGTACTGCCAGCCAGTTCCAGTCTTGCTTTATGTCAGTAAATGGCAAGAGGGAGGACAGGAGCCTTTCTAGGGCTGTTTTGGCATTTAAAGGAGGACTCATTGGGATCAGGCCTGGCAGAAACCCCTTGGCAGCTTGCTACCATGCAAGTTTCATGACTCATCCAGACCAAGGTGTTTGCTACTGGTCAACAGCCACTCACCCCATAAAACAGAAGTGTCACTCATTTGTTAACGAAGGTCAGATCTAACATAAGTGTCACTTTCTTGGGCTGGGCTATGTGTGCCATAAAATGTTACACCAGGTAGTGGAGATATAAACTTTATAAAGGACACAGGCAAACCCAATTAACAGTATTATTTTTTACTCAAAATACAAAAAAAGCAATTGATTTCTAGCGGTGAAAGCAATTGATTTACTGGAGAGCCCACAAAAGCCCCAATAAATGTATTTAATCATGTGCAAAACTAGGTTTCCCCCCCCAAGGGATACCATAAAATTGCTTGTGGGCCGGTTCCAGCCCCCCTGGGCCTTATGTTTGACACCCCTGCTAAAAGCTACGGTAGTGTTGTGCAATGGTTAGAGTTTCAGACTAGGATTTAAGAGACCTGGATTCCAATCAAAATTGTGTTGAATAAATTCACAGGGTGACCTGGTGCGAGTGAGCCATTCTCAGCCTAACTTATCTCACAGGGTTGCTGTGAGGCTGAAGTGGAAGAGATGAGAATGATGTAAGCTGTTTTGGGCCCCCACTGGGAGAAAGGTGGGGTATACATGAAGTAAGTAAATAATAAACATAACTGAAGATGAGGGGACAGGTAAAAGATTATTTAGTTTCTGAGTGGGAAGGAAAGAAGGAAGCAATAAAAGAGGAGAGAATATAGGGGCTGCCAAGAGGAGAGAAAGAGGAAATAGTGTGGGGAGGGGGGGACAGAAGAAAGGAAGTGACTACCACAAATCCTTGCATTTCCCCACCATGCAGTTGGGCCTGGTAGCCAGCACCACACGGCTCAGCCATAGTTCTCCCGTGTAGAGGCTGCTAGGGGGAGGGAAGGAGGGAAAGCTGAAGACAGGAGGGTAGATAAAGGTAGGTTACCTGGTGGGCAAGAAGGTGAGAAGGAAGGAGAAAATAGAGAGAGGCTATAGGGATATTCAGAAAAGGAAATATAGGGATATTCAGAAAAGGGAAAGAGGAAATTATGGGGGTGGGGACAATGAAAGGCGTGAGTTCCCACAAGTCCTTGCAGTTTTCCTGCTTGTAATCTTCTAAATTAAACAAAACTGATGCCAGCCGTGAGTATTATAAGGTCCATTCTGGCAATTTTTGCTAATTTAAATAAGAATTTAGTGAACATATTTATACTCTGCCTCACCCTACAGAGCTTACCGCCTTTAAAAAAAACTACTACTTTTACAAACTAGCAAAGATAACATTATAAATACAACTTCCAAACAGTAGCAATTATTCAACTGATCACAACTCCCAAATGTCTGAATAACATGGTAAATTTCCTCCCAAAAGCCATTTTCCAGACCCCACCTCCCAAGCCTTTCGCCTTGCTGAACCCAACGATGCAACCAAGGGACATAAAGCATGGCATCCAATGCAGATCTTAATTGGCAAGGAGAACATATTGGAAGAGGTGGTCCTATGTGATTATAGGTCCCAGGCTATGAAGGACATTCATATTAAAACCAGAACTGAGAGCAGGAACTAGCAGATAGCTACTGCCAATGCTGTGGAATTGGTTATCGATGCTTCAACATTCCCACATATACAATGTTAAGTCGCGAACTTAACAAAGAGTCGGAGAGTGATTTCAGCAAGAATGCGGCTTTTATTCTTCAGCTTCGTTACTTCTCCAACACGGTACAACAATCGCCAGCCAGAACCCATCAAAAATATATACACTGGCTTCTCTGTATTTAAACATTCCCGGCTAATGTAGCCACACCCTCTGTACAAATAACAACCTATGAGGTTGGAGCGATAAAGACCAATCACGAGCGATCCCGCTCTGCAATGTGATTGGATGTCGGTTCCTGGGCTAGTACTCCTATTGGTTACACTAGGATCTTAGCCCAGGGTGAAGCTTAACATTGAACTTCTATTAGGCAATTCGCATAACAGTCCATCTGACTACACAACATACAAGATATACAATTTGGAGAAAATCTTCAAAGTAGATGTGGTCTTTGAAGTCCGTCCATACCAAACAAAGAACAGTCCACTATTTTCAAGGCTATGTAAAGTTCTATTACTTGGGACCAAGTTGATCCCTCTTGCTGTTAGTTTCCAAGAATAAGAATTTGTTTGAGTTCTGAAAACCAGGTGCATTTATTTGCAGACATCTTTGGCAGTATGCACAGAACATAAATTATGTGAAATTAGCAGGAGCTAAGGGAATATGAAATGTTTCTTCAGATATAAGTTCATTGCAAAGGAAACAATACATACGTGTGCAACTGCATCACTGACAATGCATACACGCAATTCTTGCGTAACACTAACAACCTATTCACATTTACCAAGTGCCCCTTTCCTTTATAGTTTAAGATTTACTTGTTGCCTGGTCCCCTTATTTATGCAGAGCGTGGTCTACTGCTAATTCCTGGACAATTTGTGTTTGCTGCTTGGATTCTTGCCCAGGGTGCTAGATTGGGTACACTTTTAATATTACATTCTTAAGGAGGAGTGCATACACAGGATCACTTAACACAAGTTATTTATGCCTGAATTGTTAAGAGACACTCTGGCTTTATCAGAAATATAAACAAACCACAAGGGTTTTTGATTAGAACTAAAAAGAAAGAGTAGAGTACGCAAGACTGAATTCAGCCCATCTAGGTTAAGCTGCAAGATGCCATGTTTTTCTACTCAGATTTCTCATACATCCACAAATCTCGTGTAACTGTTTACAGCTGAGGCACCACCACTGCCTTAACATGCCCTGCTATGAACACAAGACCCTTTTCTTATGAGTCTGGGAAACAATAAGTATGCAGAATTCACTACATCTGTTTAATTTTGCTTGAAGGAGTTTTATATATTAAGGACACAGCTGGAGAACATTAGGAGTAACTTTTTAAACAACAACTGGACTCTTTCATCAAAACGTACTGTCTAAAATATTTCCGAGAGACTCATGCTGCCTCGTCCTATCCGAAATCCTAGCAGTGAAGTAGTTTGCAACCTCCCCCAAAACACACATAATATTTTTTGTAGAAGTATGATCCTCATTCATATAAATCAATGACAGTTGGTGAGGATGTTTGTGACACTCAGCAAAGTATAAGCCAAAGAGCTTCTTATTTATTCATTTTTTGTTTTTTTAACAATTCTTTTATTAACATACATATATATGGACAGAAAACAAGGGACAAAAGAAAAGACAGAACATAAAACATAACACATAAGAGCTTCTTATGCACATGGAACAATGACAGGTTTTTCTTAAGCACATGGAACAATGACAGTTATTTGGAGATAAAAGCACAGATGATATTTGGCACTATTTGGTCACAGGAAAATAATACTCAGGCCACTGTGTGGGCTATTCCTCTTAAGCCCTAACCAGACAATGGCTGATTCTGCACTGGCTTTTCCCTCTGTTGTTTTATGAAACCCACACTGGAACAGAAATTCCCCTCTGCATTGCATGCTGCTTTCACTTCTTTTGATCATTGGATTTTATGGTACCCTCCAGACTGTGTGCCACTTTTACTTTCTTTGATCATCAGATTTTATGGTACCTACTGCATAGATTTATGGCCATTCACAGCTGACTTTGCAGTCAGTATGATGTTGCCCTGAGGCATTTGAATGTGGTTTTGAGCTGCACTTTTTCCTCCCAGTTGAGAAAATGTGGAGCAAATGCTAAATACAGAATCGCCCAACGTTTCAACATGATTCGTTTTTCTTAACCAAACCGAAGAGGATAAATAAAACATGATTTACAATATTATGTACATTTTTTCAGTGGCAAGCATCCTAAAATGGGTTACAAATTAAAAAGCAAAAACTAGAATCATAAAAGCCAATGAAATCCTAATGATAGTTTTCAAGCACTGATTTGATTATTTTATGTTACTAATTTATAGTCCACCTTTCTCACTGAGACACAAGGCAGATTACAGGATATAAAGAAGGGTAATCAGATGGCATAAAACAACCAATGAACAATATAAATTGACTAAGATTACAGAATCTGACAATAATGCAAACAACATAGGCAAGGTACGTTATAAACAATGCAGAAAGCTGATTACAAGACACAGGAAAATGCAGTAAAAGCCACTAATACCTATAATAACCACTGCAGTGGATGCAACCTATTCCATTATAAAGTGCCCTCCTGAACTGTTGCATTTTACTACAGTTCCAATCTCTTTTTAAAAATGCCCTCCTGAACATTTCTGTTTTGCCCATACTGCAGAATGATAGGAGTATGGAAGCTTTCCTGGCCTTCTCAGGCAGGATGTTCCACAAGGTGGAAGCCACCATTCAGAATGCATGTGAATCGGCACATAGAGTGGCACCTTTACAAGCCTTTCCCCAGATGAACAAAATTGTCACAGCGGAGCATAGCAAGAGAGGCAGGGGTCCTGCAGGTATGTGGGT